TCTTTTCTCTTCAGAAAATGGCAGGCCTCCCATGGATACTAAGCAAACAGCATATCAAATTGCAGTAAGACTGGGCACCTCCTCTCCTATTAAGGCTGGACAAGGCAACCCAGTAGGAGGAAAGAGTCCCAAAAGCAGGTAACAGATTCAGAGACAGCTCCTGCTCCCTCAAGAAGACCAAGCCACACAACTGTAACAAAGGCACCCTGGACTACATGAGATTGACTCGGTCTAGGACAGCAAACAGAGTCAGGTGGTGGTGGCACACACCTTTAATCCAAGTACTGGGAAGCACACACGTCTTTAATCCCAGGAAGTGGTGACTGGGCAGAGAAAGGTATATAAAGCATGAGGAGACAGGAACTAAAGGCTTTTCAGCAGAAGCGTACCTTTTGGCTAGAGGACTTTCAGCTAGAAAGCCTTTTCAGGCTGAGGAGTTTGTGAGGTAAGAGGTGGTGGCTGTGGCTTGTTCCTTTGCCTTTCTGGTCTTTCAAGATTTACCCCAATATCTGGTACCGGGTTTTTTTATTAATAAGACCATTTAGCAATTCAAGCTACAGTAACACATTAGAGGGCCTAGGTCAGTCCCATATAGGCTCCCTGGTTGTCGGTTCAGTCTCTATGAGCCCCTATGAACCCTGCTTAGTTGATTGTGAGCCATCTTGTGGTATCCTTGACCCCTCTGGTTCCTATAATCGTTCCTTCCTCTCTTCCACAGGATTCCTGAGCTCTGCCTAATATTTGGCTGTGGATCTCTGCATCTGTTTCCATCAGCTGCTGGAAGTAACCTTTCTGATGACAATTATGCCAGGCTCTTGTCTAAAAGTATAGAAGAATATCATAAGGATTCATTAACTTATTTTTCTGCTCATGTTTGGTTCTCTGGGCTATCCTACCTCTGGTTGCTGGCCTTTCAGATGGTGTCAGGGGTGGGCTCCCTCTCATGGCCTGAATCTCAAGCTATGCCAGTCATTGTTTAGCCTCTTTCCTAATTTCTGTTCCACCTTTACCCCAGGACATCTTGTAGGCAGGACAAATTATCGGTCGAAGGTTTTGTGACTGGAAGTCTTGCCTGGTTACAAAAGATGGCCATTTCAGGATCTGTATCTCCCCATTACTAGGAGTCTTAGCTAGGGTCACCCTCATAGATTTCTGGGAGTTTCCATTGCACTAGTTTTCTAGCTTGTCACAGAGATACCCCCTAACTCCAGTTGTCTCTCCCAGTACTGTTTCCCTCTGTCCTACCCCAGCATGATCCCTCCTGTTCCTGCCCCTCCCCACTCTTCCCCACCCCTCCCTGTGGTGGGGGATGTCTATTCCATTTCCCTTCCCAG